GGAGCTGGTAAAACCCAAAGGGATGGGGAAGAGCTAAGAAATGAAAACCAATTTGGATTTGGGTTGAAGGGGGAGAACTCATCCACTCTGGATTCCTTCCACGAGCAGCTCCAGAGCTCCCCAAGATGGGGAAGGGGTGGAGAGAGGGGAAGGGTGGGGAGAGACTAGCAAGGCTGGAGCCCCCTGTCCCAGCTGCCTTTCAGTCACAACATTGCAGGGGTAACTCCCCAGCACGAGCAGCCACGCAGTGATGCTACTGTCAACACCCAATTAGCCAGGGCACGCCCCCCCCCAGGGACTGGTGCCCCCCAAAAAGAAACTCCAAACAGCAAATCCGGCATAACCAACATGCCGCCACGCACACGGTTCAGCTCTTCCTCCAAACTCGATTCAGTGAGTGCAGAACGGGAGCACAGAGAAAGCAGAACAGGGGAGAGCAAGGGGGGGCAGCCCACAGCCCCACGGGGATGGGAGAGGGGTGGGGGGCCCCCCATCCTCACCCCGTGCCTCCAGCTGATGTCCTGGGCTGTGTGTCCTTGGCTGGAGGAGACAGATCACAGCGAGAGGTGTCACCCAGCTGCACCCATGGCACTGGGACAGTGCCAGGCTGGCTCCAGCCCACGTGCTGCAGGGATGGGATAGTATTCACCAGGCCATGGGATGAATAACGGGAAAGATTTCAGGGCCTGGTGAAGACAATGTCCCTTAGCAGCCTGGAAATGTGGCACATCCCCAGCTGGGCTCCAAATGGGATACAGCCACAGGGTTGGCTGGGGGCTGGGGCTGGGGCATGGGACCAACTAGAAGAAGCAAAATGGGGAAAATTTACACATTCTTAACCATGGCAAAATAAAGTGAGGGAGGGAACGTTGCAGATATGTACAGAGGGTTGTCCAGCCTTAGCTCTGGAACTGTTCAAGTAACAAGAGTTTGGTTTATCCCGTCCCAGCCCTGGGGGGTCTCTGGCAGGTGTCAGGGACGGGGCCTGGCCCCACCACGGGACCACTCCAGCCTGGAGCCCCCCACACATGAGCTGGAGCAGGCCCAGCAGCACCAGGGTTACTTCTTGCGGGTGTGCTGCCTCCGTGCCTGCAGCCGCTGGCGAGCGCCCATCTTGGATCCCGCCCCGATGGAGAAGGCAGGGGTGGATGAACCTGGAAGCAGAAAGGTTGCTCAAGTCTCTGCAGTGTGATCCCCACCCTGGGAGGAACAGAAGGTTTGGCATCCCCTCAAGCCCAGCAGGTACCACCTGAGCTGACTCCCAGAACACAGCCTGGCTCTGCCGCTGTCCCAGCTCGAGGAGACACCGTGACCCATGAGGTCCCCAAGGCTGAAGCACCAACTCCGTCCTTACCAAAGGAAGTGCCCACTCCTCCGAAACCTGAGGCAGGAGTGCTGGGTGTCCTGAAAGAAAGGGTGCTGCTTCCACTGCCCACTGCTCCTGGAATGGATGTGCTCTGTCCAAAGGTGGGTGCAGGAGCTCCTGGAAAGCAATACGTCACTGTGAGTTGGGGTTGGCAAAGGAGGAAAAGCCTTTGGGAGTCAGCAGCCACAGGAGGCACAGGACTCTCTCCAGGGGCTGAAGCACCACAGCCTGACCCCCAGGACTGGCCTCCGCTCCCAAGAAGCCTCTTCAATGCACTCTCTGGGCAATCCCTGGGCTCTCCTGCCAGCAAAGCTGCACAGAAGCATTTGCAATGAAGGAACAAATGCCTCTGTCTCTCTAGATCAAGCAGTTGCTCAGCATGTGGTTTTCAGCTCTGTGGGAGATGAGATGGCCCAGCTAGGGTGTGAAGTGTTAGGGAAAGCCTGAGAGTGAGCATGAG